GGGACACCCCTGCTTCTCCCTGAGATGTTCATCTAGAAGGCCCAGTGACTGGTTAGCTGGAGCTGGGCATGTTGGACCCCACCTGGCAACTCCTCTTGCTGTATTTGTTACTGGAAGGGCACATCAATGGCCCCAGAAACCAACAGCACCAGCAGCAGCTCTGCCAGCTCCCATGACCACCTTGCTTGTGGGCCTGAGTCAGTACAACCCATTTTGAAGGCAAGAAGGGAGCTCAGTCTCTGTGGCTACTTGGGTCCTCAGCATCCCCACAGAGGATGACCCCTGTAGAGACAGCAGAGATGGGGGTTACATGCCAGGATTCTGGACGTAGACCTTCTACACTTGTTCTATACAGGTGGCAAATTGTTATTTCTGACAAAAGCAGGATTCAAACACATGACCTGAAGCCATTATATTCTATTCCTGCTCCCCCAGGCTGGCCCCTCAAAAACCTCCTGAGTTAGGATGCCACAGACACTCCTGTCATTGTAGCCTTGCTCTGAGTGTACGTTTAAGTACTCTGGGGGAGAAGCTGCCTTCCCCAGTCCCAACTGGAACCCACCCCTGGGGCCTGAAGCACCCCAGAGAGACAGCAGAACCACAGCAGGTGGACTGGCAGTTTGGACTCCAAGGAGACAGTGCCATGAATAGCTGGCTGTGCCAGGTAGTGAGCAGTCAAGTTACTCACCCTCTTTGAAGGCCGGATAGGAGGACAGGGATTCTTTAGTCTGTAAAGCAATCATGACGTCAGTTAACATTTGCTCCTAGAGCCAGGGGGACTCCGCAGGCATGATGCGATTGCTAGCTGCTAGGAACCAGAGCCGCTGAAGACTGAGTAGGAAATAAGAGCCAGCAAGATAAGCTGGAGGGGTCCAAAATGCTGAGAACTGAGAGGGATCACCTGGGGTGGGAGGAGAGCGGGTAAGGGGAGAGACTCCGCATGAGGAGGTATAAGGAGCAGGGAGGGACAACAGGTAAAGGACGTGAGGGGGGCCCCACCTGAGGTTGGGGAGAAGGCAGTGGGGTCATGGAAAGGCCCTGGATGCTGCGTGTGTGGGATGCAGGCCTGACCCTGTTTGCCTACAAGTGGGAACATGGAGCTGCTGTCAAGCAGAGGCCTCTGGTTTAGCTCAGCAGCCACAAGGAGTATGTGCTAGGCCTGGCTGAGCCAGCAAGCCTGGTCAGTGAGGTGGAGTCAGTCACTCTGGTCAGCTGTGAGGACAGGGCTGGACAGAGGGCACATGCTCCATTCAAACATGGCTAGCCCACAACACAGCTCCCACCAGCTCCCCAGACCTGCTCTCTCCACATGGGAGCCGAGAAGACAGGATGTGTGCGAGTCTCATGGCAGGGGACTGAAAAGGTCTGGGCTGGCCCTTACCAGGGCTCTGGGATTCCCAAGCCATCATGCAGGATACTGGGCTGTGCACTGCTGCGCACGTGATAGGAGAGGAACATGATGGGCAAAAGAAGTCCCCTGCACTCACAGGAACCTTTGACTCTCCCCTAGCGTACCCCAGAGAGCACCTCAGAGGAGAGGAGTTAGGGCAGCTGCTCTCTGCATCCTTCCCCGCTCAAGCTGAGGTGTTTTCCCAACCCTTTCAGTGCCTCAGGCATGCAAAGAACTCACAGCTGCACCCCCGCCGGGGGCCTGCTCTGGTCCTTGGGTCCGAGGTGGGGATGTCACTGTCCATGCAGGCTCTGGAGGGCCGTCCCAGCTACATGGGGACAAGCAGGCAGAGTCTTCCTCAGAGACACCCTGGCGCTGATACCAATGGCAGGAGTCTTCTGTCTTCGACGCGCCCAGCTCCACTGTGCTTTCATCCACCTCCAAAGCCGTGGGGTTTTCTTGGGACTGCAAGACCTCAAGGTTGGTCCCAGCCAGAACATCCGACCTGGCAAGGGGTGTTTCAGTGTCTGCCTCCACTGGGAGCCCTCCCTCATAGCGCAGGAGGCTCAGCAAGTCCTCCCTGTTGGCCTCTGCAAACAGCAGGCCATGGCACTCCCGGCTTCTCCGGGAGCAGGTGGAGTGCGGGGCATGGCAGGGTTGTGTTGCCAGGCCTCTCCCTGTGGCAATATGCAGGGGGCAGGGATGACATTCATCTAGCCACCCCTGACAGATGCCGTAAGCCCCTGAGGCCCCCTTGCAGGGAAGCATAGCATCTCTTTCAGAACAGCCCATGCCACAGTCACCCACTTCCGAGGGTGGCAGCAGGCCATCCTCTGAGGTGGGCGAGTCATCACGGAAGCTGGTGTTGAGGGACTGGAGCTGGGCGAGGAGGCCCTGGATCTCTAACTGACCGTCCTCATCGTTATCAGTCCATTCCTCACCTCCCAGGCAGGAACCAGCCTCTGGCTCCTCATCCAGATCCATGCAAACCAAGTCACTCTGTCCTGAGCTTATTGGGCCTCTGGTGCCCCCTACCCTCTGAGGGGGTTTCCAGTCTGCATCCGTCCCAGGTACTGTGGCATCCTCACTGCTTTCCATCGCTCTACCCAAGTCCCTGCAAACTTCTGCATCTGCTTCCTGGAGGTCCAAGCCCAGGAGAGTAACTGAGCTAGGGGCTGCATCCAGGCCTCCCAACACTATGTTCTCTCTGCTTTCAGAGACAGCCACCTTCTCAGTGGTAGCACCAAGACTCAGCTCTATGTCAGAGTCAGAGGAGTGAAACTCAGAGCACAGGGCACTGAAGGCTGAGCCAGGCTGCTGGAAACTATGAACACTTTGCTCTGTGGTCTTTGGTAAGTCAGATTTTGTCAAGGCACCTTCTTCCAAGTCCATGGCTGGAGGCTCCAGGAGCTCCGCAGGAAGGCTGCTGAAGCTGGGCACCAAAAGCGTGTCTGTTTGAAACTCCATGCTGTTATCCGTCATGGCTGCTCCTGCCGCCACGCAGAAGAATTTCACCCTGCACTGAAGACAGAGGGAAAGAAGCACTTGGCATTAAAGATGGGCACCACTGACCAACAGGGGACAAGCAGCTTTGTGGGCCACAGCTTCCACTGGCCTTCAAAGGAGCTGCCCCTTTCAAGCCAGGAAGGAGCTGGTGCTGTGGTTTTTGGATGGAAAGAAACAGCAGAGCAAAACTAAGCTGAGTAGCGTTGGACTGACAAAAGAGTTTGCCAAGCTGGTCTGAAAGAGCAGCTCTGCAGAATCCCTCCTCGCACAGAACTCACATGGACAGCACGAGACAAGTTTGCAAACCCATGCTGGAGTTGTCTATATTACAGGGGGGGCTGCTGATGCTTTCACCTGGCTGAACTATTGTGGACAGCCCCAATCAAGATGCAGCAAACACCATCAAGGCAATTTCCTACCAACAACATTATACCAGCTGCCACAAATGGCAGCAGCTCTGTCAGCAGAGCTGTATCCAGATGTGGGATCTTTTCACACTTCTAGCTGGCCCATCCAGGCTGCCAGAACTCTGCATGTGGACTAAGCCTGTCTCTCTGGGGGTGACGATGCTGCAAACAAAGATGTACTCTAATTTCCCTAGCTGGAATTAGAACAGCAGCAAGGACAAAACAGTTCATTACTTGAGTTAGCAACCCCAGTTCAACCCCAAGTAACTGCCTTCAGTTAAAACCTGTGTCTTCATCACTGCTCTAACCTGGGTTACCCAACCTGCATAAAGAACGTGGCTTTTTATAGCGTGAGCAAACCCCAGTACTTAGTGTAGTATGAACCTGATCTAATGAACGTTTGCAAAGTCCACCTTGGAGACTAGCCAGTTTCACTATCCCAGATTTACAGATGCAAAAATTGAGACACAGAGACATTGAGGCTAACATTTTTCAAAGGTCACCACTGATAGAGGCGTTCGTGACATCTGGATTGATTATTCCAGAAGTGCCGAGTCCGCACAATTCCTAATCAGCTCCTCGCAGGCTTCGCAAGTTGGGCACGTAAAAATAGCTCTTCACTCGACAATGATTGCCTTGCGCGACCCGTCCGAGTCAAAGAGTAGGCGAGTAGCACGGCTACACGCGCAGCTGCTAGGCTGCATCATCCACCACAGGTCGTGAGGGAAAACCTCCATTTCCAACGGAGGGAGCGGGGGTGTCCAACCCACCGTCTCCTTGGGAAGTTAAACTGAAGGTGATATGATGAATTATTTTGGGGACAAAAGAGAGTTTTTAAAGTCTTTTTTGCATATCTCAATATTTACATATTTAGAAAGTGGGGCAGGCAGGACCAGCCCGG